ACCTGTTGAGCATTCCAAAGTTCAATGCCTCCTTTCAAAGCCTCTGTTAGGCTCACAATGATGATTTAATATCTCTTACAAAAATATTTTCAAGGCTTTGGTGGTATCTATTTCTGCTTCTTTTCTCCAATGCAAACAAATCTTACAGCTGGATTGAGAAAAGTCTAATAAAGAAAATCTGATAGATAAAAATTAATAAGTAAATTATTAGTTACCTTTAAATATGAGAAACTTTGTCTAACATATGATTTTATAGAATAAAATATGTGTTTTTATTTAGTATGCTAATTAAAGAAATTATAAACTGAAGTTAATGATGGGTTTTTGGGGAGGAGAAGTCAAACAAGTAGGAAGTATTAATACTAAAACAAATTTCATTATCATTCAGTTGCATGTCTCCAAAGAGACCATACACTATAGGTAAAAGTTGTGGACAAAAAATAAATAACTAGTAAAATATAAAGTGTAAACAAGTAAAGTTTTAAAGCACTTTAGCTACAAAAAACAGGAGAAGAGCTATATAAGCAAGACATTAGCAGCCATGACAATCTTTATGTGTGAAAAAAATGCAATGATATAGAAAAACAATGAAGATAAATCAATTTTTAAATTATGAATAAACCAGAAGAAGGTGTTCTAGAGGGAAGGAGAGTCTGGAATGCGGGGGTCACAGTGTATGGCGCACATCTTGGGGGTGGTACACAATTATAAAAGGGACTTTACCTAACAAATACCATCAGTGTAACCTAATTCTTTGTGCCTTCAATGAATCCCAAACAATTTAAAAACATTAAACAAAAAAAGATTTTCTAGAAGTAAAATCTGAAAAAAGGTAGCTTATTGGTGTTCTGTTTCTTTATGGGTTTAGGTGCTTGTTATATGTATTTATTTTGCAATATATACATGTTACATTATCACAAATAAATTTAAATTCTAATTCTTCTCAAGTATAGTTCTTATTTTAATATTTCATAGCACTTCATGAGTTAAGCAAGGCAAGGCAAATAATTTTCCATTTTATAGTTGAAAAGACTTGGTAAATTCCCAGTTGGAGGAGCTTGAAATAAAGTCAGAGCCTCCAAAGTCAGCTTCAATGCTGTTTCTATAATCATACTAGAATGATGCAGGAAATACATTAGCATTTGAACATTTGTGAGTTTTTCATGATAAAGTGCAACAATTTTAATCTAAGATATTATTAATAATGTTATTAACTTGATCTTCTTTTTAAATTCCTAAATTCTAATTAAGTGAAAAATAAATGTATGAGATCAGAGAAATGTTATTAAAAAAGGAATATAAACAAGTTAAACAGGTGAGAAAGAAAAACTAATAATTACATCTATGATTGATTCATTATTGTAATCAGGATAAAAAAAATCTGAAACACTTCTGTTTTACTTTAGAAATTCACATAACATAGGACTTTCAGTAAGAATGAAGGAAGTCACATTAAGACTATTAATAATGACTACACATAAATGAGTCCATAGGTAAGAAGATGTGAAGGGTAAAAATGTTAAATACACTTGAAAAAAACTTTCCAATTTCTAATAAAGAAATGTCTCTTAATCAGTGAAACATTAAAGTGGAAACAAATAATCCTCATCATTATCTACTGAAGTTCAAGTACAGGGCATAATAAAGAGAGCAAAGCAATCAGTAAGATTTAAGACAGGCTATTTTCTGGGAGTCCACATCACTCTAGGAGACATCATTATTCCCTCACATCTATACTCAGGCTACTTGTGCTGGCCTCCTGCCCTCGGCCAGCATACACATGGCCAGTGACAGAGAGTGAGCATCTTTAGAGCAGAGATGGCCTCATTCATCTTTAGATGCCCAGTACCTAGCCAGGGCCTAGCAGTGTGTATAAAGGTGTATTTGCATATGGAGTCAAGCTCACTTCAATCACCTAAACCAAATCACCTCAAATGTGTATGTGTCATAAAAAAATGCATAATACATCCCCACATTAGTTAAGTGAATTGAAAGATCACCTGCATTATTGGGTAACATTGCTCCTAGTGCTTATTCCATTAGTTAACATTTACATGTATTCGAGGAGGGCTAATGTGTTTGATGAGTTTCAAACTAAGTCATTTCCTGTGAAGTAGCCTAGAGATTAAAAGTAGCCTAAGTTAAAAGATCATAGAGGCAAATTTAATTACGTGAAGCTGGTTGGTTGCAAGAAATATATTTTTTCTCACCTTTGCTTGAAACATAGATGCTGAGAAATATTTGTATAAATACAAGAATGATGACAAGTGATGCCTGACCCTTGGCCTCAGAGGCAGAGACAGGACCATAAGGAGTTGTGGGGACTGGATTGAACTTTCATGCCACCCCTATGTGGGGATTTTTCTAAGATCTTCTGACGTCCTAATAGCTAGAACCTAGATTTTTATTTAAAATGTCTCATTTTTTAAAATGGGGCAATTTTTGAAAACATAAAACACTATGTAAAAAGGAAGCGTTTGTCCAGAGTATATTTGGCGCATGGAGTACTAATTCATGACCTCTGGTTTAACAATTTGGCTACTCCATTGGTACACATGTAATTGATTATTCCTGTCACATAATTTGGCAACTAGAATGTCAAGGAAACTTTACTGATTGAAGAAAACTATATATTCAGGATTATATATATTATTGTTACAGATTTAGAACTTAAGCAACACCAGGTATTTCATGAACTCTATTCTGAAAATGAAAATACCAAAGCCCAGAGGTTGACAATAGAATAATAAGAGTAACCATGATGAACTTTACTTTAAAGCTGGTGTAGTAGAGTTTAGGTCCTAAGTTCAAGTTGGTGCTCAGTGTACACAGGTGCATGACTGTACCTCTAATTGATGCCTAGCGAGTTATCGTGACGACCAAATTCATCAAAACTGACATTTTAAATGAAGCATTGCATTGAGAAAACTAAAGTTTCAACCTCATTTTAATCACTTTAGCTATTGAGAATTCTGTTAATCAGGTAGAAAAAAATGTATCCTTAACAGCTAGAATGATTTATCTGTTTGTACAAATGTGAGAAAAATGATCACATCTTCAAGTAATAGAATACAAGTAAGAAGAAAGTTCCCATTATAGCTATGCTGATGAAAATTACCTGCAGGCTGTTACGACTTAGCTCATGAATTAATTAACCTTTTGCCATAAAAATCTAGAAACCTCAGCAAAGACTGAGGTTTCTGTTTCTCTTGCTCAGCTTCCTCACCATTTTAGAAAAGAAAAGGAGGTGCAGTCACCGAGGCCAAGAAAATATACTGAGATTTATCAGTTCTCGTGTTACTATAATACAATCATAAATTGTGGCTAAAGTATAGCAAGTTAAATGATTCAACTTTTGTTTTAATTAATGAAATATGAGTAAAGTGATTGATTTTGACACAGATTTTTATTTTATGAATGAGATTGTACGTTTTTACTATGAATGTTGGCTACCTCCTCATTATCTACCTTTCACTTTGTGAGCAAAGAAAGTTAAAGTTATGTCTTTTGCTTTACTGTGTGTTTTTTCAATGAGTGCAAAAACACACTTCTATAAACATCATTATCTACATTTGATAATTATACTGATCAAGCATTCTGGTAGTTCTCACTGGCATTTAAAGTTTAAGAATCAGCCAGCTCCAAATAAAACCAAAATTTGAGAAAATACAATTCCTAATAATTGATGGTCACACAAGCCTCTGTATTACCTCAGGTTGTTAAGGCAAAAAATCAGTAACACTTGGTGTATTTGAAAAATTATACAGATTTAAGAACTACTAAATCACACTTCAAATATTGACATGACAATTTATGAGAATTCACGCAAATGTTAGGAGCCACGTCTTATATTTCTCTTTGATGTAGTGGCTCTCCTTAAGAGGTTAACAGACCTTGATATTTAACTATTTAATAATAAGCAATATTTGCAGCTGTTCTCTCCTATTGGCCTATTTTTAGAGTTAAATATTAATTAATTATATAACTAAGTAGTTGACAATAGATAGTAGGTTACCAGGTGTTCTTGTGTAGATAATGTATTATATACCCATTGAGTCCTCACTTAATAACATTAACAGGTTCTTAGAAACTGCAACTTTAAGTAAAATGACAAAAACAACCACTTTTTTCTCATTAATATTACAAGAAGATATTGAACTAAACAACATTATTAGAGCACCTGCTGTCCATCCTTTCTCTTAGAATCATTGTTTCTAAGAACTCATGGACAATATTAAGTGAGGACGTACTTTGCATTGTTTTTGAATGTTAGGGTAGCCCTCTATTGTCCCACAAATTCATTTTTAAAGAGCTGAACTAGTGAACACTTTCCAAAGTATTTTTCAGGAGATCAACTTTTTGCTGCAGATAAGAGTCCAAGGTGTTAAAGTAGGAAGGTGACATTCCTTGTTAATAAAGTGCGTGATACTTATGTAGGCAACTAAAAAGGCATAGCACACTTCCTTTCTGTATTAAGAGTGAGCCCAGATTTTACTAGTAAATATTTCAAATTAAGTACTATCTGATCCTTCATAATTACTAATATATTAGCATTTTCCAAATGGATCTATTGACTCTATAAGGAAGATATTTCTTTAAGGGTGGTAAATGAAACATTTTTGGATTTCAACTTTGAGAACACTTCTATTGTAAAGCATATACTTTGAAGTAAGATGTACATTAACCTGAAGTGGCAAGGCTAGGATATTTTTGTCACATTAGAAAATTCATAATAAAAACATCTTGAACTTAAGAATTCATAATACTGTACATGACTTTGGCATGTTTTCCAGTACTTATGTTTGCTCATACCGACTCATACTAGATTTCATATTGCCATGGATTCTGATATGAGGATATAAAAGGTCATAATGTATATGTGTATCTGAATAATAAGTACATGACTTTCAAATGATAAAAAATAAGAACACAAACATATAATGCGTCATATTTATTATGAGAATATGCACAGAGTTCTTTGGGAGAAATGCTCTACATACCTGACAGGTAATGTTCTGTCTCCTTTCCTCCGGTCCATTTCTCTTTGGGGAACAGGATACCAGCGGAAATTCAGTTTCCAGTTAAAACCCCCGTAAGTCATGTCTGACCCAGCCATATATTCAAAGGTATCATCACTGATCACATCAATGATAGGACAAACAACTGTTTTCCTGCAGGAAATAAAAACCAATGTAAATGATAATTTAAATGTTACATTGTCTTCTAACAATTGATTGTAGCTGGTATGCTAAAATTTAATTACTTTGTGACTTTAATCTGCCTTTAGTTTTCATGTTATCCCTCCTCTCTGAAATTATTTCCTTTGATTATTGCTTCCCTATGGTCTACTTTTTGCTATTATGTGAGATCTAATCAGATATACTAATTGACCTTCTAGCTGATTTGCAAATGTATTCTAAGTATACTAACTCAGCAGGATGAACTTGGTCTATTTTTCATAAAACCTCCACCCACAGCATGATTAGTAGAGTTGCTTTGAGATTATGTATCATTTTTAGCTATAAACCACTGAAAAGCAATAGCAGTCAGGGAGTGGAGAATGGATGATGGCAAATTAGATCTGGTAGTTTGCATTTTAAATAGGTTAGGTTAGTTTAAAGAGATAGTTCTGAGAAAATCTTCATGGAGAAAACACCTACTAGGAAAAAACAAACAAAAATCAACAAATGTTAGTAACAGTAGAAATCACGATCTATCACTATAAGCAAATGCTTTCTATGAAGGACAATAGGGTCATGATAATTTCTCAGTGAATTATCTTAGAATGAAGGTTTATGGTCACAATCTAGATGATATTTTAAAATAGAGAAAGATAAGTAACTTCAGTTTCTGGTGTTGTTTTATTCAATTTTTCTTAAAGTAAGAGGAAGGGCCAGATCTGCACTCTTCATGGTAGCTTTCTAGGGTAAGAAAATTTAACTTGGACAAATCGTTAAATACTCTCTTAATCCTTATGCCTTCTCCTGGCCTTCCCCTTACTCCCATCTTGTGCATTGTGTTAGGAAACCAGCCTTTTGTCATATCTACAAGTAACAGCTCAGGTCTACCAAACATAAAAAAAAAATGCTTCTAGCTAATTCTGAAGACCAGAACTTGTTTTATGTATACAAGGTCAATACACAAGTAGGGTTTGATTCACCCATAGATATGGAAGGCAAAAAATATTGTCCATTACTTATTCTTGATTGGTAACACCAGGATTTCTGATATTCATTTTCAATTGAGTCTTATATTTCACACAATTGGTCAAAGTCTGAAGTTATCTGAAATCAATAAGATTCATCTAGCCTTGGAAGAGCTTCTTGGTGACTCTGGACCCAAGGAAATCAATAATTTTTTCTCTCTTTCTTTGAAGATTTAATGATTTAACTTGTGGGGAGAAGAAATTAAGTTGAATGAACTTGAACAGACTTTGTTACCTCTTTACAGCAACTTTAGAATTTATAACCAGGAAAATAGATTAGTACTTATTACATGAAAATAGAGTGTAATTATGTTGTTAGATCATAAAATAAATAGCCTATGCATGACAATATTGAAATATTATCTTAAAAACTCACTAAGTTGAATATGGAACACATGTAAAAAAAGCAGCATAAGGTACAAAAAGTTGCCAGTAGAAGTATTTAAGATGTGCTAAGTTCATTTTGCTTTGCCAGTCTCCCTCTCTTGTGGGTACTGTCAATACTCAGAGTGGAAAAATGTTATTAGCCATGTGCTACACTCAGTTGACTAAAAGGTTCCTGCTGATTTCTTCAACTGCTGGGGTTCATTTCACTGACAGCCTTCATCCATCTTCCTGGCAAGTACCAAATCCTGCCGCTTAAGCGATGTGGCCAGTCAAGCTCAGACTAAGCAGCTCCTGTCTTGAATGTGTAATTAAAAACTTCAATTCTAGAAAGACTTTTGTACTAGAGATGAAATGACTATGCCAGCAAGGTGTCATGTAGCGCTTTGTTATTACATGAGTTAGCATTCAATGTCAGTTATCTTCATTAGGGGCTTAGGATCATACTCATTTATCATCAATGAGTATAAATATTTGTCACAAAAGTACTTGTACTTCATTCACAGCATCATTATCAGAATTAATCATTGGCCTGTGCAAGAGTTCTTAATTTCTGTACCATATTATTCAAATATTCAGATTTCACAATTTGTATGTAGAAAGTGGTACTGTTGTTTAAATCATTGAACTTGTATTTGTGTTTGTCTGTGTTTCTTGTTATTTAAAATCCTGATTGTATTTCAGTGGCGTGTGTGTTGCATATTTTTGAGATCTTCAGTGAGAATATGAACTCGACTGATTAAGGGCACTGATGCAGTACAGGGAACACTGGTGGAGGAGTGGGAAGAACCAAACTATTCCCAGCACTTCCGATAATAACTGGGGAAAACTATGCAGCCTCTTTGCTCCTTCCTATCATTGGGCACAGATGAGGACATCTGCATTGCCTGTCTCACAGGGTGGCTGTGAGGAAACAAGCAGGTGCTTTTACAATGTGTGTTATATTGTACTATTTCAGAATGGATTGATTTCCTTCACCTAAAAAAATGAATATTTGCAAACTTTTAAAAAATTGATTATTTTTAAATCAAATAGCTATGCACAGCATGAATAAGGCAGTCTTGTTTATTAAATAAGTGCGTGGGGGGTCTCTTTAAAACTACTATAAAAGAAATGTTCTGAGAACAGCAACGTGGAAGAGAAATTCTGATGGCTGTATGGAACTGTCCTAACAGATTCGATCATAAGCCATGCAGACATCACTCAGGAATTCCTACCTGTCTTCCTTTATCCTTGCCAGCAAGGGCTCCAGCCATCCTAATGTGCATTCGCAGTGTGCATCGAGAAAAGTTATGACCTGCCCTTTTGAAGCAGCTGCTCCTCGAAGACGGGCACGGATTAACCCAGAGCGTTCTTCCATCCTAATAATTTTTACTGGCACGTCTAAATTTTTCACGTAATTCTCTAATGTCAACTTGAGAAAATCTGTAACATGCAATTAGAATTTATAAGAACAAACGGAAAATGTTTCGTGTTTAGAGACGCAGCAGAGATACTGCTGAGATGTAAATTCAGTACACAGCAATGGTGGCCACTCTCGTCAACTATTTTTGAGACAGAGTCTCAAGCGGTTGCCCTGGGTAGAGTGCTGTGCCGTCACAGCTCACAGCAACCTCAAACTCTTGGGCTTAAGTGATTCTCTTGCCTCAGCCTTCCAAATAGCTGGGACTACCGCATCGGCCACAATGCCTGGCCATTTTTAAGTTGTAGTTGTCATTGTTGTTGTCAGGCCCGGGCTGGATTGGAACTGCCAGCTCTGGTGTATGTGGCTGGTGCCTTAGCCGCTTGAGCTATAGGTGCTGAGTTGCTCTCATCAATTTTGTTTGCGTTGAATTAAATAAAAGAGATTTCCCCAGCTAATTAATGTTGCAGATCCGCAAAGTCACATAAAGGCTCAAGAATATGATCAATTTAACTGGGGCGGGGTCGGGGGGACATCTTTGAAAATCACTTTGGGTAATTGTTTTTTTTTTTTTTTTTTTTTTAGGTTAGTAAGTGCCAACATAAGAAAAACTAAAATAATTAGTTAATTATTCTAGAGTTGGCACTGATGAGGTATATTGATGAAAATTTGATAGGAAGTTGCTGGATTTGTGAAATTATAATGCAAATACAGATCATTGTCTAGTTATCTTTTTGACTGTAACAAAGCTTTCTAATTAAATAATACAAGAAAAATAAATTATACCTCTTTCACTGGCATCATCTACCAAGATGACCTCAGAGAGCAGATAGTGTGGGGAACGATTTATCACGCTGTACACGGTTCTCAGGAGAGTGCTCCAGGCTTCATTATGAAACACAATAACTACACTCGTGTTTGGAAGTTCATCAGGGTAGACTTTTGTCTTGCATCTGGAAAAGAATAAAGAGGAAGGATATTAATACATTCATGTCTCATCCTGATAATTATAAGAAGAAATATCAATAATAACACAACTTAAGAAGTGCAAGCTCCTTACTAAGGGAATGTTTTGTGAATACCTAAACTCATTTTCCTTTTTATAAGTGCTGTGAGTAACCACTTGGCATTTTGAAAATTAAACATGAATAATTATTAATATTTTCCTTTAACTCCTGGAGGGAACAAAGCAGCATGATTTCCAAAAGTCTAAGGAAAAAAAATCAAAGAAGGCTAAAATAACATTCTGAGACAGATTGTCAATAAAAGATCCAGGACAACAGGGATAGATAAATTCATTTAGCGGATATAATTTCATTCTTTGTTCTGAAAAAAAAAAAAAAAGAATTACTGTATAACTCAAAAGTCATAAGAACATAAAGAGACATGGGTCCATAGGGTTTTGATTCATGTAAAATGGAGATTATTTTTCTGTTCTGAAGTCTAGTCATGTATTTTTATTCCATTTGAGAATGCGATAAGCCATTTCTACTTCCAAGAAAACATTTTGGTTCTTTTAGATTCAGAATCTATTAAATGCATCCTGCCCCCTAAAATTTCCTTCATTCCTAGAGATCAAGAAGGGAAATGGGCTCCCCACACTTCTGAAACATCACTGTGCATAGGTGTTACCTGGGTGTTCATTAAAGGGGCAGATGCTACTTCATTAGATCTGCAGTGGATCCTGAAATTCCACACTTCTAAAACTCCCCAGATGATTCAGATGCCGCCGGTCCCTGGAACACACTGACTACTAAGTGTCATTTAATGACATCACAACTGTCATTACTTTTAGAAGTTCAATGTTGTGAGAAAGCTTTTAATGTTCCTTATAAATCCAAAGCACTTCAGATTTTTCTTTTCAAGTAATCAATCCAAAAAGCTATGCTTGGACAAATAATAATGCTCAGTGCTCTAGGTGGTCATGTCCCATTTAACACGCAGGTATCTGTTGCTCCTGTCAACTTGTCAACATTCAGACATTTCTGCCATGTAATTTTAAATCATTGTGATTATACATTATAAAAAGAATGTCATGGGATATCTGGAGCTGTCATAGAGGTTTACTTGTTTTTTTCATGTCAAATATTCGGGTAAGCTAGAGAATGAACCATATTTTCTAAAATAAAAGAAACCAGCTGACCCTGCCACTTAGGAATGACCTCAGACTGATACAATACAACATTGTTAAGATTACTTTCCTTCACATGTAAAAATGTGCAATAAAAGTGGGAGACAAAGACACGTAATAATAAAAAAAAAAAGAAAACGCTGATGGTGTGCCTGTTGAGATCTTCAGCATCCATAACAATGATCTTAAATATCACCTACTCAGGAAAGTCTCCTGTAATATCGACACATAAAAATGTATAAATACCTCGATTATAACATTTTTAGCATATATCACTTGAAAAAAATTCATTGAACATCCACAATACAAAAGATATTATGTATATAAGAAAATCAAAATGCAAGGGTGGGAAAGTAATTAGATTCATAGTCATCTTTCTCATGGGGGGGCAGATTCCAATGATTTTTATGGGCTTCACTATTTAACTTTCTAAATGAACTTGGAAAGCCAACTTGGTAAATGAGAAAGGTTCTCTCCACGATTTCTCTCAAACCTTCATTCTTCTGCCTTATCAACAGAACTCACCACTTTTCCTATGTGAAGCCGAGAGTATGGTAAAGATGATTATCATCATCAAAAACACAAAGTTGGAGAAACTGGCTGAAAGCTATCCCATAGCCAACAGCCATGGGCCACTGGTTTAACCCAAGGATTATGGTAAATAAAGGCTGCTCAGCATCATTTTGAAAAAAAGACATTTCATTTACATCAAAATCTTTTGTATATGGCACTAAATGTAACAATTAGATGCATTATTTAAAATATCAAAATAAAAATAGATATCTAGATCAAGCATTTTAAAACTATTTCTATCACACTTTACTTTGATAATTAAAAAATCCATAACATTTCATTTAATGGGAGTTCCAGGCTGGTATTCCCTATTATCAAATCAATTGCAAATATTTATCTAAAAAAAAAATCCATTTACAAATGTTAACTTTACATTCATTGTATGTGTCCACATTATAATGAATTAACTTACCATTAATACAGTTAATATGTTTACTTAGATAACATTTTCACTATATCATTATTTAGTGTAGCATTAAAATAAAACATAACAAATGTTTGTATCAATTCTCCCTCTTCTTTCTTTATAAACAGTCATTCATTAAAGGATACAACAGTTCAGTTATGTGAGATGAATAATTTCTGGAGACCAAATAATGTATAGCCTGGTGACTATATTTAATAATACTATATTGCCTATTATACTTGTAATAATAGGATGGATCTTAAGTCTTCTTGCTACAAAAAAAATATCAAAACATAAGTCACACATCTTACATACACATTATTTTTATTTGTTAAGTATACCTAAATAAAGTTGAGGAAAAAGTCATTTAGCAAAGAAGATTTTGTATGTTGAGAAAATAATTTATAGGGTAATTCATAAACTATGCAAATTAATCATTTTATATGTCAGTTTATCCAGTTATCTTAAATGCATAAATTTGTATAAATAAGAATCATGCTCTTCATGATTCCTGATGAGTTTGTGACATGCTGTGTTAGTGTTTATATTTCATCAAAGATTTTGTTTCACCTGTGATAAAATAAGCCATGGTTTATTTATCACGAGGAAAGAAAAAAATCTCATCAAATACACTACAGCACAACACTGGCATGCTGAACTTACAATATTTGCAAAGAAAGGGAAGTTTACTTTCATTTAATTCTATAATAATGCACCTGGGGCCTTTAGTCTTGGCTGCATGTTGGAATTATCCATGAGTTTTAAAAAATACGATGTGCGTGTTTCAGTCACAAATATCCTGATAAAAGTGTCCAGGTGTGGTCATAGGTAATGAGATTAAAATAATTCTTTCTTAGGGATTTTATTTTATTTTATTTTATTTTTTAGAGACAGAGTCTCACTTTATTGCCCTGGGTAGAGTGCTGTGGAGTCACAGTTCACAGCAACCTCCAACTCCTGGGCTTAGGCCTCAGCCTCCCGAGTAGCTGGAACTACAGGTACCTGCCACAACACCCGGCTATTTTTGTTCCAGTTTGGCCAGGGCCGGGTTTAAACCCGCCACCCTTGGTATATGGGGCCAACACCCTAATCACTGAGCCACAGGTGCTGCCCAGGGATTTTAATATGTAGTCAAAGTTGAGAAATGTTACCTCAAACTATTTAACAGAAAGACAGATTTTTTATATGCAAAGCTTTTTGGTTAACATCAATGTTTTAGAATAAGGTACATGAGGTTAACATCGCTTTGTGTTTCTGTTGGAAGAAAGTGAGAAAACCCTGTCTGTTGTGAGTGTGAGGGGCCAGAAAGCCTTCTGCGCACTTCATTCACAGTCTCTTCATCTGGATGCACATTTAATGTCCTTCCAAACTTCTACTGGCTGTTGATTTACAAATATATCAAAGAGAGAAGATGAGGATGAAATCCTGTTTCTAACATCTGTAACATGGAAATGCTGTGAGATAGTCTACCTATTTGTCCTCTTTCCTCCCTTGGCTAAGCACGCATTAAGGGAACACAAACTGTCAGAAGTTGATTTTATCCTCTTAAAACTATACTGATGTTTTCAGATGAGCTACTGAAAACAACAGGCCACATCAAAGAAAGAAAAATTGACTCCAAGATGAGAACGTAAAATCACAAAGGATCCATAATTACACAGTGGTTCAGTTAGACCCAATCCATTTAGGACTCCAAACAAAAGCTGTCAGCAGTACAGTTTGCGTGACTTGGTGGATTGCTGCTCAGTGAGTCAGCGGTTACCTCTTACTGCTTCAATCAAAGAAGATTAATAACAGTAATTAAAATAAAGACTGGTCATGTAATTCCTCTATATGTTTTTAAGAGCTATGAGAATTGCAGAATTCTGTGTCATTTCCATGTTTCTTAATCATTAACATCCATATTCACAGGGAGAAATGTCATCATTCTCCACCACATCCATGCAAAGAAAACTTGGACAACCAGAAAGTAGTTCTTTCATAATAACTGAACGGCCTGGGGCCTCAAGTAAGATGAAGCAGTATATTTTACATGGGTTTCTCAATGGTGATTTACATTTACAATGTGTTAACCTTTCAAACGTAAGTTTCTATGTCATAATTATGTGTATAATTCAATAAAACCTCCAGATTTTTTGTTTATCTACCCCCACACACCTGTATTTTAACATTTAGGCAGATGCTGTGTTCATCCTTGGCCTATTTGCTACCAGATCCATTTGCTGGTCCTTCTGTTTTCCTCTATGTCAGTGGCTCTCAACCTTCCTCATGCCACAACCCTTTAATACAGTTCCTGTGGGTCACGATCCAAGGTTGAGAACCGCTGCTCTATGTGTTGATGGTGGTGGTGAGGTGGGTCACTGGGCAGGATACGTTTACATGACTCCTTCACTTCTTGGCTACTCCACAGGGATCCAGGGTAGGACATATCTATGTTAAAAGAGACATTAGCAGGAAGGCATGGACTTTTCTCTATCCTTCCCTAATCCCATAGAAGACTATTAGAAGACTATTCAGTCCCCTTCCCTGGCCTTGTATCTTGCATATGTCTCAATATTTTTACTTATGATACTCTTTCATAATAATTTATATAATCTAATTGACTGGGAGGATCCTTAAAAAGAAGGAAAGTGGAAAGGTTCATCTTATTTATAGCTGCTTCTCCAAAATTTAGCATTCTGTATGTCACAAAAATACATTTAATAAGATGTTGAATAAATATAGTCTTCACAATGAGGGAGGTTATTGCATGAATTATTAACAGATCAACTCCTCAATCACTTATCTTCATTATTACATACGAACCATGAGTGTATAAATGCCAATTCTTTTATTATTGTCCT